CTCTGTTTGTCTTTGCAAACCAGGGTTCCCTCTTCACCTGCACTGGGAGCCATGGAATTGCTGTGCTACCCCAGCCTCAGGGTGTTTTATGGCTCACCTGCTCTTTAAAAAATAAATAGGGGGTGGTGGTGGGAGAGATATCAGATGCCAGAAGGTTGTCATAACCACTTTGCTTTATTGATACTGCATTACAAATGAGAAGTGCAATAGGTGCAGAAACCGTCTGAGTCTTGCCTACCACTGAATGCACACAAGTGAAATAATCCACGATACATCAACACCTTTCCCAGGCCTCCCCACAGCCACATAAAACATCAGTGGACAATAATACATACAACAAGGAAATAAGGTATATTTTTAAAAGCAACAAACACAGTTTTTCCCTATATTTAGTGCAGCTAGGTACATCACTGAAAGACAGAGCTTTTGAGAGCAGGCAGAATGAAAGGGATGAAGCTACTATGAGATACAGAGGTAGACAAACCAGTCTGGAGGCTCAGTCCATCCCAATGGCACTAGTACAACTCACTGAAAGCTAGGTAAACAGCTCAGCTGCTTTCTGGATTTAAAAAAAAAAGCTAAGAAATAATGTGGAAGGGGAAAAAAAGGGAAAAGTATGTGTTGGTTGGTGGTGGGTTTTTTCGCTCTATCTCCCCCTATCCAGACAAAGCCAGAGACACTGATTTACATACCTTGCAAAGACTGTGGCCACTTCTGTACAGCAAGTTGCACCTTCCCTCTTTCCCAGTACCCCTGTGTGTATCACACTGGGAAAATACCCTCTGAAGACATGCTTTATGCAAAAACCACTTGCCCTTTGCATCCTGCAGAGCTACATGATAGTACTGAGACCCAGGGGCCAGAGCTGGGGCTGGGCTAGGACGAGGGGGTGACTTTCCCAGTCCTTCCTGGGGCTCTAGGCAGCATTTAGGACTTAATTTAATTCCGCTGAAATTATCCTTTGCCTCCCCACCCTCGTGCATGTCAGCAGAGCACCGGGTGGAGGCCCCTGGACCAGCTGGGCTGGATGTGGAGGTGCGTTGGGTGCCCAGACCTGCCAGTCGTCCCTCCCCAGGGATCGCTGCTGGTCACTGCTGCAGCCTTCCATGCTTCTGCGATCCAGCAGCTAAGCACTTGGAGCTGTGTCTGCGTGTAGAGGCATCATAACAAAAATCAGAGTCAATTCTGCCCATCCATCTAAGCAAACAGGGCATCTTGGGTTTGGGTTTCTTCTCAAGCCTGCAGTTTGAGATTTCCAAGCTAAGCCTGTGATTTATCTGCTGACCTGCAAAGAGGCTTTGCAGGCAATAGGAGAAAATTGAGCCGAAGCAAAGGTCCAGTTTCACCCAGTCTCCCACCCATTGGCCAGGACCAGCCTCAGAGGTCCCTGTGGCTGCTTGGGTCTCTCCTTGCAAGTGAAGGCAGTCCTTGCCAAGCCAAAAGGCAGGATGGTACATTTTGAACTGTCTCCTGGTATCCAAAAAAATGAGCTGCTCTGGTCTGGTCCCATGGTGACCCGCGACAGGATAAGGCAGAAAGGAGGGTTAAAGATGAGCTGTGCTTGGAAACAGCATCATCACTTTTATGGTGCTTCCAGCATCGCTGCTTTGCTCTCTGGGGGATGCAGGCAAGACATTTAGCTGAAGTTTTGCTTGGTTTTTAATCATCTCTAAATGTCCCCCATGATAGCAGTTTACACATCAAAGAGCAGAAAGGGACCAAAGCTCTCAAAGACGAAATTTCCAGCAGTGGCCACCAGAAGCCATGATGAAGTCAGTCCTCACCCTTCTCAGTGACACATTTTAGCACAAAGAAAACCAGAAGTCTGCGGCAGGTGGAGAGACAGGGACAGGAAAGCAGACACATCCATTCTCCACCTGCAATAAAGTACATGTCCAAAGGAAGCAGCCAGCCCTGCATCTGTACAAAACCCCTCCTGACCAACCACAACAATACCAAGAGGAGGATCTGAGAAAAAAAAAACTTTTTTTTTAATTACTGCAAAATTTAAAAAGAAACTGCTATAAAACATGCTATTTTTAAGTGCCTAAATCAGCAACTCCACTTTGGAGGGGGAAAATTTTTCCCAGACCAAGTCATCTGGGGCAGGAGGTTGGGCTCAATGAGGTCCTTACTCAAGTCCCTTGCCCCACAGCAAGACAGAGGTCTTGGCCACGCCAGCAGGACTGAGCAGACAACGTGGTGTCTGGCTGATTTGGGGGATTGGGGATGCTTGGGCTCTGTTTTGCCCAGCAGTTGCTCTATTACCAAACTGGAACCACAGTATTTTACTTCCCATTTGCACTGGTGCATGATAGTTATATGAGGTGAAAAGCAGCTCATCAGGATCCCTGAAAACTTAAGAGAGGCTGTATCTACTCTGAGAAACCAGAGAAGCACCATCTGCCAGGAAAACTAACCTAGATACAACATTTTTTTTCTCCTGTTTGCCTTTGGCGCATCTTCAACCCTCGTCCAGCTTTCAGGTCTCTGGGAACAGCCCAAACCGGTAAAAGCTAAGTAAACCTCAACAGCCGCTGGGAAACAGCCCCAAATCTCGCCAAGAATCCCTGGGAACATATTTATCTTGGCAGGTTCGGGGGGCATCTGCCACACGATTGAGGTTTCATGGTTGTGTTTAAGGGCACCACACCCTCTCTTGCAGGTTTGAGCCCCAAAAAGAGGAGCTGCAACGCACTCTGCTCCTCCACAAAGAGTGGCGCTTGGCGTGGCCTTCCTCCCACCCAACTCTCACCCCAAGAGCAAAAATAAATGAAAAGTAAAAGAAAAAGTCAGGCTTCGTGTTCTGGATGGATATTTATTTGCTTAACAGATTTTTTTTTTTCTTCATTTTTTTCTTTTTTGGTACAAAGCATCCAGGAAAGCTTTTGCTTCTCTTTTTAAAAAATAAAAACTAGGTTTCTTTTAAAAAAAGACACATGAAAAGGAAAAAAAAAAGTCAATTATTTGCAATTGCTCTGTTTTTATTCTGCCTTCCCCACCCCACCCACTTCCCTTCCCCCCCCCTTAATTTGGACCGATTTTCATTCTTTTCCATATATATTTAATAAAATAAATAAAGGATTTTCTTTGTCGTGTATTGCAGTGCCATTTTTTTTAAACAAAGGCTTCATGGCTCAACATTGCAAGGTAATAACAAACAAAAGGATTATACATTAAAATCCTCCCCCTTTCAAGACTCCCCCTAGCCCTCCCCTCCAAACCACGAAATAGAATACAATTCAAGTAGTCTTTTTTTTTTTATGTTTTAAATGTATGGATATATAAGACAAAGCAAGTACAGAACTGGTTAACAGAGTGTCCCCATTTTATTAGCAAGTGAGAGTATATTAGGGAGATGTAATTGATTTCCCCCTTTTTACGGCTCCTAGACAGATAATATATATTATTTTAAAACCAACCTATTTTACAGCCCTCTGCCCGCCTCTCAAACCCATCCGCTCACCGAGTCCCGAGCCTCAAGCCAGAGACTTGCCTTTTCCCCCATCCCATGCAGCGGTCCCAGCCCTGCACCTCCCGGGTGCAGCCCTTCTCCCCCACAGCCCCGGGGGGGGGCGAAGGGAGGAGGGGGGGCGCGGGGTGGGCGTCCGGCGAGAAGGACGCAAAGGGCAAGAGAAGGAAAAGGAGACGGTGGGGCGCGGAGCCGGTGCTTCTGCAGGGGCTTGGCGGTGAGGGCCGCCTGCCCACCCGCTCGCCGGAGCGTGGGCGCGCGAGCGAGCCGTCAGGGTGGGGAGGAAGCGGTAGGGCCCCCGTGGCTCGGGAAGCCAAGCTCTGCCGGGGGTCCGTGCAGAAGCAGGCCCTCGAGTTGTAGCTGGCAACACCTTCACCATTCAAAATAGTTTGTCTCTAGAACAGTTCCCTTTTAGTCTAAATTGTGGTGGTTTTGTTTTTTGTTGGTTTTTTTTTCCTAAAAAAAAAAAAAGGATGCGTGTCGATGTATTTCTGTGTGTGCGTGCATCTGTGTACATGAGTAACAGCCAACTAGCTCATATGGTCATGACCAAGCTATATTTCAGAAGAGAAAAGAAACACATTTATCACACTTTTCCTAAAACGAAAAGCTAAAATTTCAAGTTCAGTATTCGCTATCTTGTCCTTCCCTCCCCACCCTCCCTTGCTATTTCTGGGTTTTTTCCCTTCCAACTTACTTTAGCACCATAACACATTTTAAACATTACAATCCCTCTTCAGATACTACACAAAATGTCCCATAAAAATAGTGCTTTTTTTGCCAAAAAAGTTATATAATATATTATATATATAAATCAACTAAATCCGTGGCAAATGTGCAATGCAGACGCCTCCTCCATTTAAAGTGAGCATCAGCTCACTTTTTTCTTTTTTTTTCTTCTTTCTCCTTTCCTTTTTCTTCTCTCTTTCTCGCTTTCTCTCTCCTCTTCCTCTCTTTCTCACGTCATCGATGATTTCAAAAAGGTGCAAGTCGATTTGGAATCTTGTAATGAAGCACACACACAAAAATGCAGATGGGGGCTCCTTGGAACTTCTTCTCAGGTACATTTTTCTTTTAAAGGTGCAAAAGAAAGTTATAAAAATAAGCAAACCAAAAGAAAAAAAACAAAAAAGAAGAAGAAAGTGGGGTGGGAATGAGGCAAAAAAAATATATCCCTCAATATTTCTCCCCATTTCGTTTTATTTTTTTTCACTTTATTGTCAAGAAAGACACGGAATGGACTCTTCTTCTCGAGAAAAAAAAAAAAAGATTAAGAAAAATTTTAACTTCATATCCTTTTTCCCTCTTGCTCTTTCTTTTGTCTTCTGGCGTTGGCACTGGGGATGTCACGCAGCGCCCGGCAGCAAAAAGTTCAAGTGCCAAACTGTCCCTTTGCAAGTACAGGCTTGGAAATACTGGGGGCGCGGGGGAACGAAACAGGCCTGGGAAACGCAACAACCCTCCCCCCCACCCCGAAAGGACGCTGCGGGGGGGGCGCCGCTGCCCGCCGCCCCCCCCGCCGCCGCCGCCATCCCCTCCTTGCTGTGTCAGTTGTTTGGTTGGGGCCGGAGCGGCGTGAGGGTCCCCCGCCGCCCCGCTCCTCGGCTCGGCGGCCCCGGGGACGGAGGGGCTCGGGGGCCGGGGCTCGCCAGTCCTCCCGCCCTCCCCCGGGAGATCAAAAATCGAGACGGCTGCTCAGGGTTCATTTCTGGGGGCCAGCCGTTTCGGGGGAGGCTCGGGCCGCTGGGGGCCTCTGGCTGGGCAGGGAGATGAGGGGACGGTGCAGCGCCTTGGCTTCCTCGGCCGCTTGCAGCCCCTCCGCCTGCCACCGGTACTGGCGAGCCCGCAGGATGCCGGGCACCTCCCGCTGCAGCCGCTGGGAGCTCTTCTTCTGCCACACGTCGTACTTGGAGTACTTGGCATGCGAGGGCTTCTGGAAGCTCTCCTGCAAGGGGACGGGATAGCAACGTTAGCTTCGCCGCAAGCCTGCCCGCCCTCCGGACGGGGGTTCCCCTCTTTGAGCTCCGTCCGCCCCACGGAAACACTGCCCCGTCCCTGGAAACGTTCAAGGTCAGGTTGGACGGGGCTCTGAGCAACCTCATCTAGTGGAAGATGTCCCTGTTCGCTGCAGGGCGGTTGGACTAAACGACCTTTAAAGGTCCCTTCCAACCAAACTATTCTAAGATTCTGCGATCCAGCCCACCTCTGGTCCCCCACCTCATTGAAAGCTGACTTTCTGCAGGGCATTTGGCATGAGTCGCCAGCAGTGGCCGTCTCTCGAAGGCTCTGCAGAAGCAACAGACCTTGCAGCTGGGGTTTGTCCCCTCCCGCCCACGGCCCTCCCGTCTTTCCTCTTGCTATCTATTTCGGAGAAGGGCCGCCATCCCGGCGCAGCCCGCCTACCTTGCTGAGTGCCGGCAGGCCCGCCAGGGAGGTGGCGGAGAGGTCGCGCTCAGACTTGACGGACTTGGCGCAGTAGGTTTCCAGCAGAGCAAGGTCACAGCTCCGAAAGCAGCACTCCTCCACGATCCCCCGGTTGATCCGCCGGTTATTTCGTCCCACCGGTCTACCTGCAACAGCGAAGACCCAGGAGTTAACCACCAACCTGGACTGGTCCTCTCCCCACCTCCTGGCACCATCCCTTTGCAGGCACCCCTCCACCAGCCACCGGAGACCGGGGGATCCCACACGCTTCAAAAATAGCCGCGCTTCTCTCAAACCGGCCGACACGCACCCGCAAACCGGCTGAGTTTCACGTTAAGACTTTCCCAGACAAATGCTGTTGATGCTAACAGGGCTCCCCGCATGCGCGTGGCACTAATTAAAGACGCTATATATGGTGGTGATTTATTCCCCTCCTATACCTCCGGCGTGGGCAGCCCTTTTGGGCACAGTTAAAGTGAGGAAGCTCAAGCCCAGCCCGGCCACCAGCACTGCGCCGATTACTGCGACGGTCTCCAATGTTGATCCTGGCAAGCGAGTTTTATTAGAAAGAAGCAGCGCGGCGCTGCGGCTGCCAACCTTCCTCCATTGGGTCGATGCTCAGGCAGGTGAAGCGAACCAAGGCGGCTAAATTTTACCAGATGGGACAGCTCTGAGACAGCTGCAGAAAGAATACAGGCTCCCGCACCCGCCAAGAGTAGCTATTCAACTTTATCTTTTAATAAGGGTTCCTCTTCTGTTTCTTCCTGCAGAAGGATGCAAAAGCCCATGTCCAGTGCAGCAACAACTGAGTGCATTTCACATCACCGCTTAACGACGGCCAAAGCGCTCCAGAGGAAAAGCTTACATCAGTTTTACTGCTTTTTCTCCCCCTCTTGAAATAAGAGGTGGGCAAATTTGAATTTCTGATGCAAAACAAATTTGCTTGGGAATTGCAACTTCCAAAACATGAACCGGCCCAAAATGAAAGGATTTTCTCCGCACTTTCTGACGTGGCATGTTATGCGCTTGTGCTGTTGTGGGGTTTGCAGCCAGGGCTCTGTACGCTGCCATGAGCGCCTCTTCCCAGTGCAAGGTGTTCCGAGGGAGGGGAGCAGAGGCCAGCATCAGTGGGACTTGCAATCAGGATCCAGTACCGCATTCTGGCCAGGAGAATTTGGGCATGGGAAAAACTGAGAGTGAATGGTGGAAGCACAAAGCGTAAGGCTGCTCACCGTGCCATGCCAAGCCCCCACCTGCCAGCCGGCCTGTGGGAACACACCAAATGGTCCACATTGGCCCCATACATGACCTGTGATCCCCCTTCGCACTCCGGATGAAGCAGGCACTCAGGTGTTTGGCCTTGGTGAAGATTTAAGGGCTCTGGCTTGTAAGGTGCTGACCAATTTCCCCAGGGTGTGCCTCGCCTGGGTGCCCACCTAAAGTGCATCGGAACAAAGTGCAAAGCACAGGAGCTTTCTGTGCATGCAGTGCAAACCCACATGTGAAAAGCAGCCCCATATGTGTAATGCAAACATGCGTGTGCAATGCAGCCTTGTGTGTGCAACACAGATATGCATGTGCAATGCAGCCCGGCATGTGCAACGCAGCCCCACACGTGCAATGCAGACACGCAGGTGCAACGCAGACCTGCATATTCAACACAGCCCCGCATGCACAATGCAGCCCCATGTGTGCAGTGCTGGCATGCAAAACCCTGAGACTGTGCCTTGCCGTGGGCTCTGCAATAGCAAAGGCCCTGGCAGCAGGGCACCCGCTCTCTGTTAAAATCAGCTGTTCCTCGCTCGGCAGGGAGCCCTCTGCTCCACGCTGGTGCATTGCTGCCGTGCTCGGAGGTCGTGAGAGCAAACACGGCATCGGGGTGCAGGATGATGGGGCAGCTGACTCATACAATGCAGCCCACCTTCGGGAGTCATTTCAAATGCTCTCTTTTCCATGTTCATCCACCCTGCACCACCACCTTCCTTTTCTTTTTCTTTTTCTCTGGAAAAAATTCAGGCACAACCTTTAGCCAGCACTGCAGGAAGGTGAGAAGGATGGTTCCTTCTTGATAAAGGCTCAGCAAAGGGAGCACTGTCAGGAGTTTAATTTTCTCTCTATAAATGCTTGTGGCCAACAAGCACGCTGGATTGGGCCCTCCCTTTAAAGGCAGGGCAGGCGCGTTGGGTGCCCGCAGCTGTACGAGTGATGCCGGAGCAGGCTATCTGGGTGGCGATGCCCAAGGGAGACGGGGGAGAGGAGCCAGCTTGGGGCCAGGTGCGTCTATTCTTCTATACGCCTGTGACGCCCAGCGAGGTCCACGGGAGACGTGCGCTGTCACTGACATCCCGCACCACATATGGCCCCCGCTCAGCACCTGTTGACCCCAGTGCCCAAACCTGCGTGCGCAGCAGGTTGCTGAAGCATTAGGCTGCTCCAGAAAGGCATCCTGAGCACAAGCAGAAGGAGAGTTTGGAAGGAAAAGAGAAAAAATTCAAGTCACCCCCTCTTGCTAGCAGATCCCCAGAGGGCTGCATTCACACTCCCGCTGAACAGAAGGTTGCACAAGCGACAACACGCACGGTTGGGGGGAAGTTAAGGTTTTGAAAGGTTACATGTCTCCTCTCGAAAACAGAAGTTGCCCGCTTGCAGTTATGTGTTTGTTTGGAAAGAAGAGATGGGGGGGAACAATAAGCAAAGCAGGACCATTTTCACTGCCTTGCCATCAAGGGCACTTTCTGGTATGGGAGCGCATGGGAAGGTCACAGCAGCACACGTCTGCAAATGCCCAGGTGTGGCATCGCCAGGGTGAGCTCCTGGCAGGGACCACCATGGCGGCACGGCCCCTTCCTCCCCGCTCGCTGCCCCTGCCCAGCCGGCGGGCACACGCGTGGCCCCTGGCCCCGACGCGCTACCCCTTCGCTCTTGCATAAAGCTGCTGCGTGCCGTTCCCCTTGCTGGCGCCGCTGCCAGCTCCGCTGCGACGGTCCGATAGGGCACATTTCCCATTACATAATTGTCCGTAGGGATCTCGCCAAATGCCAATACAATCCTCTGCGGGAGAGTTACTTTGGGAAAAAAAACAGGCAAACATAACAAACAGGGATTTAGTCCCAGAAAGCACCTGGAGACAACAGCCCAGGGAAGAGACGCCAGGACATTGCTGGTTAACAGCAATATCGCTGCTGACCTGGATTGGGAAAAGCGTTTGTTCCATAACACGATTTACGCACGGACTAAAGGTTGAATTTCCTGGCTTTTGCCCATGGGTGGCATCCCACTTTACCGCCACTGCCAAACCCAGGGAGGGTTCTGCCGCTCCGTCCCTTGTCCGCAGGGAAGAGCTGCGCGGGCAGCCGGCTGCGGCACCGCCGGGGTGCGCAAGCCACTTCCCATTGCACCGACGACCGCCTCCTCCCGAGGAAACGCACTTCCTCTCGGCCTTCGATGAAGGGCTGCACTTTCTTTTTCCCCAAATTGTGCTCCACCAAAACCTCCCACAGCTCTGCTGAGGGGCCGAGCCCCGCGATGCAAAGCCCGGCGACGCAAAGCCCAACGATGCGAAGCCCGGCGACGCAAAGCCCTCTGGCCGCGCAGGGTTATTCCTGCCTGGCAGCGGCTATCCTGACAGGGAGAGCTGGGCATCCTGGCAGTGGTGCAAAGCCAAACCCGCTCCCCAGAGAACCCGGAGACCGCGTACCTGCAGCTCAGCTATGCCTCCACGCCGGAGGCGGTGGCACCGCCGTGGCTGCGGGGGGGACAGGAGGGACCCTTCCCTGGCATTGCCGCCCCACCGCTCCGGGCTCCCCACCCTCACCGGGGCCGGACGGATGCCGTGGGGAGGGGTGCGCGGTGCCGGTGCCACCCTGGCCGGGTCCCCTCTCCTCCGGTCAATCAGGCAGCAAGCCGAGTGGAAGGGGACTTTGGGTGTAAACAGTCCTCGCGCCCCTGTCGCAGGAATGTCGGGAGCAACAAGGGGGCCTTTGTGCGGCACCGGGCCCCGTCCCAGTGCCCCCGGCCTGGCCCTCCCCCACCCCGGCACCGCACTTTCCCCCCTGCTTTTTCCTAGTATTATTCGGAGGAGCGGCGGGTGCGCAAGAATGTGCCCCGTCAGCACAAGCGGCTGCAAAGAGCTAAATTCTTATCAGCTGTTGGAAAGGAGGAAACAGGAGCTGTTGTTTACAGAGAAGTCGGATGCCTCTCCCCCTGCAGCCCCTTCTCCCCTCCCTGCCAGCATTGCATGACAGCAACTTCGCGGCCCGGGCTTCCTCTCGACCTGCCCCGCTTTTTTCCCTCGGAGCTGCGCTCGGCATCCCTCTGCGGGCCATGCCGCCGGCCCCGGGGTGGGTGCCGGGGAGCAGGGAGACGGGGTCCCGACCCTGCCGCAGAACCACGGCGGGATGCCGCCACCTTGCCAGCACCTGCGGGCCAGCCCCCAAAGCCTTAAGAGTCGCGGAAGGGAGGAATCACGGCAGAGGCGGAGAGCAAAGCACGCACGGCTCCGGCTGCAGCTTGCCCAGGCACCCCTGGGATGCAGCACAGGGCTGGTGTGGTGCACATTGCCAGGCCCACCCTGCGTCCCGTGGCCAGGTAGCCCCAGCGCTGCCGGCTCCTGCCCCTGTTGGTGCAGCTCTTTCGCAGCTCCAGCTCTCGGAAGCGGTTTCAACATCCTCAGCCCCAAGCACCTGCCAGCCACGACGCCTCCAAGGGCACCCGGGGGCTGGCACTCGCTCTCCATGCCAGTGGAGAGACGGGCATCCCTCCTCAGTCTAGGTTGCATATTTCCTTGTTGCCAGATGGATGAAACACCATTGGTACGCTGCATCCCCTTGCATGGATGCAAACAGCGCTGTATTTCAGAGCTAGCTTCGCTAGCTAAGTGGTCCCTTGTAAGAATGCAGAGCATCGTTTAAGTACTTAAATCACCACTGCAGCAGGAAACTGATAACAGATTTTCATACCATTTTTGGTTTTTTCCAAGACTACCAGTCGGATGCTTGCAACAAGCCCATCCAGCAAGCGGGGCCCATGTGTGCCTGCGGGACAGGGCTGCCCAAGTCATTTACCTCCCATACGAATGACTGCATTAGCGCAGGCTGCTCATCAGGTTGCACATTCCATGCTGTGAAGCGCTCATGACAAACCCAGGCCTGGTTTTATGATGTAAACCCGCGATAGTGCAACATAACCATACCCTATCGAGACTAAATGGTGACAATAGTGTAGCCATGAGGGTTTAGGAATGAAGATGAATCTGGTCAGGAGAATTAATGACTTTATGAGGCCAACTGATGGAGGCAGAGGGAAAAAATGAGGCGCGCTGGGGATGTCCAAACCCTTCATCAAGAACAGCCATCGCCCAAATGTCTTCAGCCCTGCACGGCAGAGGCTGGTCAGATGCTGAAGGGGTTAAAATATGGGACTGGGGGGACTTTGCTTCATCCCCGGCACCTGAGCTCTCCAGAAATATTTAAAAAGAAGAAGGGGGGACGAGAGAGGACAAAAAAAGCAAAAGCAAGGATCCCCTTGCAACCACCAGGCTGGCCACTTGGCACCAAGCGACTTGTCTGCCTTCAAAAGTGTTTTTATTTTGGCCTGGACGGCTGGGTTATTTGAGGTGAAAGGAGGTCAGTTTGTCCGTAAAACAAAAGCCCCATTCCCTTTCATCCCCAGAGAGGGGGAGGAGGGAAGAGAAACCATGGGAGGGAGACGGATGCTCCTCTATATATAGAGGGAGAGGAAGAGGTGCGAGAGCGCGAGAGGAGCTCGCCTCCTCGCCACACCGGTAAGGCCAGCCCCGGACCCGCCGCCTCAGCCAAGCTCCGGCACAGGGCTCATTGGCGGAGGAAAGGTGGAAGGGGGAGACGAGAAGAGGAAGGGCAGCTGACGTGCAAACCCTCGCCACTCAGCTCAGCGAGAGGAAGGAAGCTCGCCCAGGGCGTCCCCAAAAGCACTGCCTGCCCGCAACACCCGGGGGGGCCTTGAAAACATCCTGCTGCTCAGCTGGGACAGGACAGGGGGATCTCCCCCAGCCAGCTGCAAAGCCACCGGCAGCCCAACCGCCTGCCCAAAATTACAGAGCTCGAACCATGGCTGCTGCTGGATGTGGGGTCCCTGTGCGTCTCCCTGCCCAACCTCAGCAGGCAGCATCAGCCAAGTCTGGGTTGACATCCAGGCTGGGAAGGGACATCCAGAGTTGTCTCCTAACTTTGCAGCGCCCTGTTCCCTGCACAAGCAGACTGGGATGAGAGGGAGGCTGGCTTTTGACTCCACTGCTCCAAAAAACACCGTTACTTGGAAGTGACTTTTTAATTCCTTTTCCCAAGGCGGAGTCAAGACTGCCAAATGCACGGCACCATGTGCAGCTGGTATCTCCATCCTCTTCCTCCCCATTTGGCTTTGCATCTTTCCTGTAGTCAGTCACTCTGAGGTTCAGTCCTCGGTGGGCAGCAAGACATAGGGTCTTCCCTCTCCCAAGCAGACCAGGGGACCGAAACACCAGAACAAGGCCTCACTCTCAAGTTACCTTCACCCATAGATTACTGAGCATCCATTGCTACCGGTTTCCTCCTCCTCCTCCTCCCCATTTACCAGCTAACACCAATGGTCCAAACCCCCAAAGCGTCCTGGCGGAAAGCCTGCTCCAGCCAACTGTCCTGAAGCCACCTGCACTCTGCGGACAACGGCGAAGCTGCATTTTTTTGCACTAGCCACACTGCAGGAGGGCAAGACATCACTCTTTAGCAACAGGTTCACCAGCAGGTAGCCCGGAGGCCACGAATCGTATTTTGGGAGCAGCCTAGAAGCTGCAGCTATACCCATGCAAAGCCTGCCCAGAAAAGAAGAGCACTCAGCTCCCTGCCTGCTCTCAGGATGCAACACTTAGGCAGCAAGGTTTAAAGATAAGCCAGGGCCCAAGCACAGCAGAGAGCTGGCTGCAGACATCCTCGTTATTTTAATCACTTGCGCACATCGCCAGTGAGCCAACCACCTATGGCTCCCCAGCGATATTTGACTTTTCCCGAGCTTCAAACACAGGACCCAGTTTCCCCATGGGACTAGACAGTCCCCAAAATCGGCACGAGGTGGGTGCACGTCACCCTGGGCACATCGCTCTTCTCGCTCCTCTCCTCGCCCACCGCCAGGTACAAGGCAATCACGAAAAGCACCGGGCTGGGAAACCCCTCCTTTCCCTCCCAGCCCAGCTCCACCGAAGCAAGGCGTGGGGTGGGCGCAGCATCCTGCCCGCTGCCGGCGGCTGCCCGCCACTTACTGAAGTAGAAGCCCCTGTCCCCACAGACGAACTGCAGCGTGTCCACCAGTTCCCCGCCGCAGAGGGTCTCCGCCGTGCCGTACGCCGCAGCCGAATCCAGCGCGTAGGCCAGGAAAGCCAGCAGCAGCAGCAGCATCCGCCTCGCCGCACACATCCTCTGCACCTGGGGACAGAGGCAGAGTGTTAACAAGGTGCAAGAGACCCCTTCTGCCACCTCCCCCAGGCAATGCGCCCTCCCCTCCCCAGCACGCCTGGGGTTTGATGCCCGGACACGTCAGGATGCTGCAGAGAAGGACCAGCAGCGCTGAGCCAGCCGCTGGTGTGAGGCTGGCTCCCTGCACTCGCCCCACCGGTCAGCCGCTGCGGTCAGACAAGGTTTGCATTGAAGCAGTTTTTCCATTGGAAAATCCCACTTCAGCCTACCTCTGAAAGGCTTTTATTCCCCCTGCTCTTTCAACAGCGTGATTTTTTTATTTTTCCCTGCTTTTACATGGGAAATCATTCAAATGATTATTGGGAGGTGGGGGTTTTTTTTCATTTCTGATGACAGGTTTTCGTGCCCTACCCGAACGCATGTTCCCCCAGAGCAGAAACAAATGAAGTTTCAACCTGTCCTAGAGCTGCTTTTGACGAAAGCTGGGTTTTGCCGGGGCGCAGCGGCCTTCACCCTGGGCATGCGAGAGACTCGCGTGGCCGAGGTTCGGGCAATCGAGGGGCTGATTGCACAAGCCGTGTTTGCTGATGAGAGCCGGGACCGAGAAGACATCCCTCAGGAGCACAGCGGTCCCACGGGAAACACGCCTGAGGCATCACCAAGGAGGGCCAAGGGGGTATCAGCTGGTGCGGAGGATTAACAAAGAAACTCCCTGGATATTTGCTAACTAACCCAAAGATTTCCCCCGACTCTGCTCCAGCAAACAGCTTTACCTCCGTGTCAGCTTCTGCAGTTGTAAAGCGAGGGTGCCGTTGCCTCACTGGATGAGGCAAAACCCTTGGATGGGTCAAGGCATTATAGTCACTCATCATTGTATATATACAACCAAATAATGATGGTGGCCGGACAGGTCAGCTCAAAATGAAGAGGGGAAGTGTGGCAAAATAGCAGCTGGCGTGGGGCAATGCTAAATCTCAAACGGAGCATCCCCTCTCCCTGCTAATGCCCAGCCGAGATGCTGGGTTTCACATCCAGCCTTCATCACCATAGCATCTGAGCAACCCGAGAATAATACCAGTTAATGAATATTACCTCACCCCCCCGGGATGCTCAGAGATGGAGCCGAAGCCCAGGATAGATTAAATGACTCGCCCAAGGTCACGGGGGAAGTCTGCAGCGCAGCCAGGAAATTAGCCCAGCTCCCCCGAGGCCCCGCTACGGTCCTGCCAGCAATAAAGCCACCCTTGCTACCAACTTTTTACTAGCACATAGCTCAAATTGTCGCTGCTAGAAATGCACCGTGCTTACAAGTCGCGAGCTCTTCTGAGCAGCGGGAGGACAGGGATCAGCAGCAAGAAAAGCCAAAACGGAGGCTGCAAGGTCTGGGTGGGCTGAGGGGGGCATCCCCCGCTGGCATGAGCTTTGATACCCATCGTATTGCTCAGCCCGTGCTGGCAGAGACCAGCAAGGCTGGCAAAACCCCTTCAGGGCTCTGGACAAGAGAGGCAGCAGCCCTAGGAACAAACTGGGCTCAAACCAGCAAGAGATGGGACCAGGACCAGCTTTTCCAGTAGCACTTGTCCCTTCGGCACACTGGGGGGGCTTTGGTCTATATTACGCTAGGAGCAGAGGGATGGCACCGGACTGTGATTGCACCGTGCTGCCAAGCTGCAGTGTTTTGCTACCAATACCTTTTCACCTTGATTTTTTGTCAAATGGCCAACGGGTGTTTACTGGGCCTCCCCAGCATGACCGCAGCATCACCTTCGCTGCTGAAGTCATGTCCCTGGTGCAACAGCATCGGCAGCCGGATCTCCAATTGACAAGAGACCGATGATCCCACTCCCTTTCCTCTCCCCCCGCCCCCCTTTTTCCTCTTTTTTTTACACGCAGCTCCTGATTGCTGGTGTCCCCAGGGCACAGGTAGCGCCAGCAGCTCATTGCCGGGGCAGCAGATGTGTGCCAGCCAGTGCCACCATCAAAGCCACTGACGTGGGACTTCAGGACACCCAAATAATCCCCCCTCCCCAGGTAGGCTCACGCTGGCTGCGAGCACTGTGGCTAGTAAGCAGGCTGCCTGCCAGCCTCCCCAGCCCAGAGCCAGCCCCCCAGAAGGGGCTTGCTTGGTGGCAGGGGTCACAAACAGAGTTTTTCCTCCACATTCAGTCTAAAGAAAGGGGTGAGATGCTCTGAAGCAAGGGGAGAGCAAGGTTTTGTCGGCGGGGTGATATCTGACGCTGGGGAGACTTGATACCTTCTGTGGAAAAAACCTTGTGCTCCTCGGAAAATACCCGCTCCTGCGCAACCCCGCACCACAAGCACAAGGCGGCCCCTGGCAGCCTTCCCTGCCACCGCTGCGAGCTCTTTTAGGGTGTCCGTGCACCCCGTAACTGCGGCCAGGAAGCTCCCCTGAAGCCACAAAGACAAGAACTTCCCCGACGCTGTCACCCAGAGCCGGGCTAACGTGGAGGTGTATGATGCGAGGAAGTCCCCCTTTGCCCACGCATCAACCGCCAGCACTTTCCACCTCTGTCACCTTGGCGTCTCCCCGCTCCCTCCGGCAGCCATGTAACGAGAAACCAGGCGGCAAAGGAAAAAGCATCTTTATATACTACCCGGTGCTGCAGTTTGTCTCCAGCTTGATGGAGCCGCAACCCAACCCCACCCCGTAAGCCCTTCCCTCTTGCTTTGGCCCTACTGACCCTGCAGAGAAAAAGTCCCCAAGCTTCACCCAAAGGCTAGACAGACTCACAGGGTGCTGTCACCGGCTCAGCACATCCCAGTGACCTTTCAATCGGTCGATCCTTTCCCCCTCCTGCTCCTCCTTAGCACGGATGGGCAGCACCCACGCAGAAGACCTCGCAGCTCCCCCGTTGTGGCTGCAGCACGGCATGGCCGGGTGCCTGCAGCCCACGACCCGGTACAAGCACCATGCCGGCTGCACAGGTTGCACGTGGCTTCAGGTGTCATGGCCAAATCCTGCTCAGCATTGTGAGCTGAAGTCGTGTGAACCTCTCTAAGTCTTCATTCTCCACTGGAAATGTGGGACAGCACTGCTTTCGGTTTCTAGTGCAAGCATTAGGACAGGGACAGCCCCCTCGGCTGTGGGACAGGAGTAAATTCACACCAACAGCTGGTAAAACCATCAGGTTTTATTAGAAAGCTTCTCTTGCGTGAGATGCAACAGGAATAAGGCAGCGAGAGGCAAGCAGGACACCTTCCTAAAGGACAAGGTCCCGTCTCCACTAGGAGAGAAGCTACGCCCACCAAAGTTTCATTCTTGCCAAAGCGGGTTGAATCAGCCATGCCAGCTGCCATTCCCCCTCATGTGCCCGCGGAGAGCTCAAATGCTTCCGGATGGGGTTTTAACCAGGGGCCATGGGAACAGCAGGGTGAGACAAGCCAGGTGCCCAACAACCTGAGCACCAAATTCCTCCTTAACAAGGGCTCGGACTCCATGCAGTGTGCAAGAGGGTGATGCAAGAGGAATTTCTTAGTTGCACAGGTGCCCTGGACCGTCCTGGGAAACGCACCTGGAGCTCCTCTGAATAACTCGTATCTGAGCAGCCTTCTCAGCACTGGAGAGGCTCAGACAAGCCATCAGAGCATGCTGCTGGCCTCTCCTTGCCCGGAGGGGGTCTGCTTTGCTCTCCATCCTTCACGTCCCTCTCCGGCCTTCCCTCGCATCCCCAGCTCCCCGCGCTAAACCAGGCTGCCGCTGGAGCCAGCTCGGCCACGAGCTGCTGCACGCGGGATGCTGCCGCTGCCTTGGGACTCCTGCGTATTCGCCCCTGGCAGCACCCGCTGCTGCACCCATGGCCGGGGACCCCCAAACACCTCTTGGCAGCCCTCAGCCAGCCGTGAGACACCAAGGGAAAGGGTCCTCTCGGAGCGGCTGCGGCGTGCCGGGAGCGAGACCGAGGGCAGGTCTGCAGCGGAGCCACCCTCCCGCCCGAGGCCGTTAAAGGAATTTTTCAGGATTTGCTGCAGAATCAGCTGGATCGGCGATTTCTGTCCAGCTGCTAGGGAGTCGGGGGCCAAGAGGCCACAATGCGCTAAAAGGCCCAGTTGCCAAATCTCGGAGGACAGCTCAGGCATCCCTTGCATCCAGGCTTGTGCTGAGCCAACCAAACCACGGTGCCTCTCTTGGGCAACAAACAGCTCCCCAAAAACGGAGACTAAACCTCCTGTCTGACCTAATTCCTTCTTCAGTCTGGCCTTCATTACAATTTAATATGAACAGAAAAATGTAGGAGGGAATTGACAGATGGCCCAGTCTGCAAAATTTGGATTTGGACAGCAAAAAGAAAAAAAAAAAATAAAAAATCTCGCTTCTTTGTGGAGCAGGGCAGCGTTTAAAAGGGAGCACGGCAAAACGTCGTCAGCCCAAATGCAGCGGTGTCTGCAGGAGGGGAAAACCCCAGTTTGCACATCCCAGCCTCCATCACCCTCTGCCCCTCCAAAAAAAAGCGGGCAGACTGATGTGCTACTCTGATGATTGCCTGTGAGAGATGCTGAGCATCCATCCTCTCGGTGGGCAGCCTCAGGAGAGTGGGAAGCTGACCCGGTTTTGAGCGTGGCTTTCCCGAAGGGGCAGGACACGGGCACATGCCAAGCGAATGCCGCTCCTGCCCACAGGCAACCTCGCGCGGGGGGCCGGGCCACGACGCCCAGAGGTGCCAAGTAGCGAAGGGCTAGCGGAGGCCGGTGGGGAGAGGCAGGTGCCTTGGCAGCCGAAAACCACCCAGGGGCTGCATCTTGGGCAGAGGCAAGGGGGTGAGGTGCCCAGCAGTACCCGAAGGGAGAGGAGCCACCACGTGCTGTGCTGCAGGAAGAACCTCCCTTTTCATCTAGACGAGAAAGAAGGAGATTTCCAACCCACAGCTTGGAAGAAGCAAGCTTGGAAACACAGAACTTTCGACCGTCGAGCTGTCAGGTGAATAAAACTGACCCAGGACCAGGAGTTTTGCTGTTTAGCTCAGGGTTGAAAAAAATAAAAA